CCTAACCCCTATCATGGATGCGCTTGCGGGGAACAGCCCCTCTCACTCCTGCTGTCACCCTCACCCTCTTCTAACCCTTTTCTTTCCATTTAACCAACCCTGATTCACTGCTTGTGAATCATTTGTTTAATGGTTGGATGATCAGGGCCTTTAACACAGTAGGAAAAGTATGATCTTTGAAGTCAGAAAGACTCCCCTTGCTGTATGGCTTTGCTCAAGTTACTTCATTTCTCTATGCCTCTCTTTGTTCATTTGTAAAGTTGGGATCGTATGTAATTCATCGAGCTGCTTTGGGATTTAAATAAGAAAAGGAATAAACTATTTTTTGGTTGATTTAACAGCTGGAATAAACAGTACTTATTTCCAACTCTGAATTTTTGAGAGTTTAAATTCACAAATTTCGTAGGCATTGGGCCTTAATTCCACAAACACTAAATGTTAATACATGCAAAGCACCAGACTGAGTGAGCACCGGGCATAAATATGAATGGTGTGGTTCCTATCCTCAAAGGGAAGAGGCAAATGAGTAAATAATCTATTAAGTTACTTGCAGGGCAGGGATGAGGGCTGTAGGAGACATACTAAGAAGGGCTGTGATAACACAGCAGGAGGACAGGCCTTTTTTTTTTTTTTTTTTGAGACAGAGTCTCGCTCTGTCGCCCAGGCTGGAGTGCGGTGGTGTGATCTCACTGCAAGCTTTACCTCCTGGGTTCATGCCATTCTCCCGCCTCAGCCTCCCGAGTAGCTGGGACTGCAGGTGCCCGCCACCGTGCCCAGCTAATTCTGTTTTTGTATTTTTAGTAGAGATGGGGTTTCACCGTGTTAGCCAGGATGGTCTTGAACTCCTGACCTTGTGATCTGCCTGCCTCGGCCTCCCAAAGTGCTGGGATTACAGGCATGAGCCACTGCGCTCAGAGGACAGGCCAATCTTGATCAGGCCTTGGAAACAGTAGGCCTTGGAAAGAGTAAATCTTGAAGGATAAAGAGAATTTCAAGACCTTGACTGGCCTGCTAAGGATTGTGGACCTTATTGTAAGGGTGCTAGGAAGGACCTAGACACATGAGCTCCAAGTTTTATGCTTATAATGAAGAAAGGGGGCAATTGAGATCTCTCTACAGTGAAGAAAGTGGAACAAGAAGGAGATATTAGAGCAAATTCACTAAGCTCTGCGCCTTCCAAACAGTTACTGTGGACAATATAATAAATTATGAAAATCACACACATACACACAAGTCTTAGGGGAAAGAGATGAGACAATCCAAATTAGCATCTCTGCCTATGGCTCTGATGTTCAAGGTTTTCACACTCCAGATCAAGCTTGTACAACCCACAGCCCGCAAGCCCTACTGCGGCTTTGAATGTGGCCCAACATAAATTCGTAAACTTTCTTAAAACATTATGAGATTTTTTTTTTGCGATTTTTTTTTTTTTTTTGCTCATCAGCTATTGTTAGTGTTAGTGTATTTTATGTGTGGCCCAAGACAATTCTTCTTCCAATGTGGCCCAGGGAAGCCAAACAACTGGACAACCCTGTTCTAGATAGTCCCTACATGCAAGGATGGGGAAGGCAGTGCACTCCCGACTCCCAGCCCAGTGCTCGGAGGTGAGCACAATGAATGCTCCAAGAAGGGTTAAATCAGAATGTCATGAGGCTAGAGAAAGCTTTCTTGGCCTATGGAAACATCTCGAAAAATTAAGTGTCTTTTGGAAGGGAATGATGGGTAGAGAACAGATAATGGTAGAATATGGGTGGAGAGAGACGGGAAGGAAGGTGGGGAGTGGGAATGGCGGGGAGATGGGTGTGTTTTACCTGACGCAAAAGTATATAGAATGTTATATACTGACCACCCTCCAAAAAGAAAGAAGAATAATTCCAAAATTCAATTCATAGATATTTTTGGAAGATGAGACCAAGGGTGATATAGTTTATGAAAAATTTTTTAGTACTTTCCAAATTTTCTATACAGGGCAAATATTACAATTATAATCAGGAGTTTTTTTTTCAGGATTTTTTTTTCTTTTCCAAAAAAACCCTCTTTTTAAAATAGACTTTGAAGTTGAAGTCTACTCAGTTGTCACTGCAGGCTCAGATAGGACACTGAGGGCTGGGTGCCTAGGGGAGACTCACTGACTAGCAGCTTTGAAATTCTTTATTATTAATATCATGATAATGCTAATAATTTATCACAGCTTGGGTAGACTGTTTCTAGACTGGCACTGTCCAACACAGCTTTCTGCAATGATGTTCTATAGCTGTGCTGTCCAATAAGGTAGCCACTAGCCACTCACGGCTACTGAGCTTTTGAAATGTGGCTGGTATAACCCAGGGACTAGATTTTACATTTCATCTATTTTAATTAATTTGCATGTATTTTTTCAGACAGGGTCTCACTCTGTTCCTCCAGGCTGGAGTGCAGTGGTGCAATTACAGCTCACTGTACCCTCGAACTCCCGAGCTGAGGCCATCCTCCCACCTCAGTCTCCCCAGTAGCTGGGACTACAGGCATGCACCACTGGCTATTTTTTTTATTTTTTTATTTTTGTAGAGACAGGGACTTGCTAGCTCCTGGCCTTCAGCCTCTGCCTCCCAGAGTGCTGGGATTATAGGCTTGAGCCACTGAGCCTGGCCTAATTAATTTACATTTAAATAGCCTGAGGGAGCCCTTAACATGTTCCACTCAGACTGCAGCTCTGAGCCCTCCCAACACAAAACTCTCCCTACATCCTCCCTAGATTCTTTCTCAAGGGAGAACCAGGGCTTCTGCCTTGGACATGGACACGCTTTGATCCATCCACAGGGGGCTTTCCTCAGCTCTGTAGCATGGGGGCAGTGTGCGGAGGGTGGGGACCGGTTACCACGGCAACCAGGAGCTGTGTTGGTGCCAGCACAGCTGTGACCCATATCTTCAGTCTTAGACTCATTGGATTCTTATCAAGAATGAAAATCATCTGTCATTCTACCTCTTAAGAATGTAAACCATCTGTCGTTCTACCTCCTCCTCTCTCTATTTTGCTTATCTCTACGGTCTGGCTAGCTTGTAGTTTTTTTTTTTCTGAAAAAATTTAGTAAGTAACTTGTGTTTCTTCCAGTAATCTTTTCTCCTGTACATAAATTTCTCTTCTGAATTCTACCCCCCAATCCATACAGTCCACTTAACAAGCATCACTTGTGAAGAAGAGGAAGACTATAGAAATTCCATTTTAAAATCTATCAATTTTGGTTGCTTTGTTATTTAACTTACCTTTTATTTGCAGTCACCAAACAGAAACCTAAAATAACACAGGCACAGTCACATTTTATACACTCCCTTAGAAATGGTTTATGTTATTGGCGGGTATATATGATTTATGTTGTGTGTGTATGGTTAGTAATAATAATTTTAAAACGTGATATTTGTTGAATGCTATAGGCACTTTTCTGTGCATATTTTTTGTATTATCTCATTTAATACTCCCAAGAAGCCAATCAAATAGATCCTGTTAACATTCCTACCTCACAGGAGAAAAACGGGGCACAGAGAGACTAAGCCCTTTGTCAAGGTCATACAAGCCTGGGTGGTGGAACTAGGTTGCCTATGTTTAGTATCAACGTGATTACTACTCTCTTTTATTACTACTCTGTTATACTATTATTACTCTCATTATTATTACTCTCTCTTTTATAGTTCTGTTGCCCTATCTTCTAAAATCAAATGTTGCAAACCTGTGATGATTCAAGGCCTGAACCTCTACAAACTCAAGCTGCACCCCCAATAACAAAGAGAAGTGCACTCTTGGGGTGCTCTAGAATAGACCTAGTGATAGTTTAATGGCTCAAGGCACAAAAAAGAAAAGATAGTGAGCTAGGGAAAGGACACCTGGGGGTGAGCCCAGCCCCACTGAAAGTGAAAACAACAGTGTTGGTCTGTGGCCAGTTCCATTTGTTCTTGCTCTTTGGACACACTTAGTGCGTGGCCCCAGCCTTTGACCTGCCCTCATATCTCCTGAGTTACGGCCAGTTATGCCAGCAAGGACAGTTTGTAACTCTGGTGTGAGACACTCTAGGGGATGGCCTTACAGCCTGCACACTGGAGAGTGCTGTTCATCCATTCATTCACTCGAAAACATGCCACAACTATTTTCTGATGTTTACTATGCGTCAGGCCCAGGGGGTACAATGGTTAACAGGAACAGCCACAGTCCCTGCCCTTTTAGGGGTAAAGTCTAGTTGCAGAGACAAACATTAATCAAATTATCAGACCGTCAGTTGTTGAGCTGCCACAGGGACAAGTGCAACAGTGAAATGGCACCATGAGAGTCCATCATGGAGGTTTCACCTCCCTGTGGAAGTGGCATGGGTGCTGAGAACAAAGGATGAGAAGGGCTAGCTCAGGGAAGAAGGGAACAGGGATACAAAGGCCCCATGGGAGAAGTGTTTCAGTGGGAGGGACTGGAAGAGGCCAGGGTGCTCCCGTGGAGATGGCGGGGGGCTGCATGGTTTCGAAAGAGGCTGGAGCCATGTGGAGGCCACGCCACGCATGCTTAGCAGTGTAGGTGTTTGGTCTTGATCCTGAGGTTAGTGGGAAGCCTCTACTGGGTCATAGGCATGACCAGATTTGAGTTTTCAACGATCACTCTGGCTTTGGGGTGAATGCCAGAGTACGGTGATGGTGGCAGGCTGACAGCACCTGGGAAGGCATGAGGACTTCCCCATGTATGAGGCACAGGGAGCCTCTGCCCTCTCAGGAATTACATTCTGCAGGTTAAAATCCCACAACAAGGTGTTCTGGCAGAACCTGTTCAGGCTGGGGCAGAGGGTGGCAGTGTTCCTGGGCCCGAGTTCAGACAGTTGTTCAGGACTGGAGCTAACATATGTAGAGGATCTACTGGGCACCTGGCTCTCTGAAGCCCCTGTACAGTGACCTTAGGACTCAGGAACTCTACTACACCAAGTGCTGTAGAGATCTCATCCTGTCACCCAGGTGGAACATGTGTGATGGACACAGACAGCAACTGTTACCTGGTCATCGAGCGGTATCCCTTTTCCCATCTTCTTTCGATTTTCCTCCGGGTGATAGTCATCAGCATCATAGAATTTCCATCCCAGCTTTAAGAACAAAGTGAAAGGGTGTATGTGGCAGGCAGATGGGCCAATGTGACAGTCATTGTGGGGTTACTCACAGGCAGGTGTGGAAACAATGCCAGCTGCCTGGTTCCCATCAACCCCAAGCACAACCCCCAGGAGGGAAGCACCTTGTCATGCCATTTCACAGTCCCCACGACTGGGGCTGCCACGGTCTCCTTTAATTCATTACTTTTTTTTTTTTTTTTTTTTTTTTGAGACAGAGTCTCACTCTGTCGCCAGCCTGGAGTGCAGTGGCTCAATCTCGGCTCACTGCAACCTCCGCCTCCTGGGTTCAAGTGATTCTCCTGCCTCAGCCTCCCAAGTAGCTAGGACTACAGGCACGCACCACCATGCCTCACTAATTTTTGTATTTTCAGTAGAGACGGGGTTTCACTGTGTTGGCCAGGATGGCCTTGATCTCTTGACCACGTGATCCGCCCACCTCAGCCTCCCAAAGTGCTGGGATTACAGGCCTGAGCCACCGCACCTGGCCTATTCATCGCTATTTGTAATCACCAAGGAGAAAAATGAAATTGCTCCAATGGGGTTCAAAGCCATGTGGAAGTGTCCGTACAAAGCAGAAAAAAGAGATGCAAGGAGACCAGAACACAATGGGACACCCACTTGGAAGGCATTAGGACAGGTTACTAACCTCAGATGCCAGCAGGGCGCCCACGGTGGATCTGTGGAGAGGACACAGATGTTCCCATTACTGCCCTGCCCAATGTGTGGAGCTTCCTTTTGTGCAAGGATGTCTGGGAAAGGGACGGCTGCCCTAGCAGGAATTTAAACACCAATCACGGTGTAATCCTAAAGCAGTGATGCCCGTGACCCTGGAGTCTGGAGATTGGCCTTAGCTGATCCCCGCGAATGTCAATGAAGAAATAATTAGTTAACACTATTTTTTTTCTCAAAAGGCGATATATAAGATCTCATTAAACCCAAGATTTTTCTTCAGTAATCAGTTTTTGGTCCCTGTTGCATAATTTTATGTGTGTGTGGGGGGGAATGTTGAATTCATAAAGTCATCAAATTCTGTTGAGAATATTGAGTGGAGGGGTCTGATGGAGGATTTAATCTCTAGCAGCACCCATGTAAAGTTCAGGGCACTCATAAAAGCATAAAAACATTTTTGGAGTTTAAAAGAGACACACTCCTAAAATAAAGGACATGGGTCAGTATCTCATGGATCACCAGCACTTGTTAAGACTGGGAGTTAAACGTTCTCTGTGCAGAGCATTTGGTAACTACCTGTCCATACTCTACCAGGCGGCATGTGCTAGTGAAAGGGGCTCGGGACTCGGGACTGGGGATGGGGCCACAGTTGCCTTCTGCCACTAAATGACTGAGTGCTCCCAGCCAAGTCACCTATTCCTTTAAGCCTCAGTTTTCTCACCTGTAAAACAAGGGATCTGAGCCACACAATGTATCCATCCACCTAAATTTCATTTGTTTATTGAGCACCTACCCAGGATGTAATGGTAAGCTCACTGAGACATGGCCTTAGCCATCCTAAACAGTCTAGTACCACAGGGTAGGGGTGGAGGCCAGCAGACAATGACCCATAAAGTGCTTTCTTGCTTTCAATGTTTAAAGTGTTGCCCAAATGCCAATTATTTAAGCACCATCTTCATAATTTTTTACCTATCTCCATACTGTTTTATCATGCCCTCTTAAATTTTGCATATCACCTCAACATTTTGATGTTTTTATTTAATTGCTTCACTTTTAAAAATTAAATAAGTGTGTTAAAGAAGGAAACCTTCTTTCATTCCCTTACACAAGAAGCTATCATCACTTGCCTTGAACAGAAGGCACCTGAAGCTGTATGTAATGAAAACAGAACAATGTGATTAAATTCTAGCTGGACACTGTTGCCTAACAAAGGTCCTCTTTCTTTCACCAAAAAGCCATCAGAGAGGTGTTAGACACACTTGTACCAAACTGAGATCTGCTCCTTGATGTAACCAAAGGATTGCGAGAGCAATGAAACCTTTCCCGTTATATTCATTCTATTGAAGGCTACTCAGCGAGACATGCAGCCTATGGATGAACAGACCATCCCGGCCAATCTCCACGGCTGGTGAAGCCAGAAGTATGCATAGCAGAAATCACACTTAAGACCAAGTTAGGTTGGGCGCGGTGGCTAAGGCCTATAATCCCAGCACTTTGGGAGGCTGAGGCAGGTGGACTTTGGGAGGCTGAGGTAGGCAGATCACTTGAGGCCAGGAGTTTGGGACCAGCCCGGCCAACATAGCAAAACCCCGTTTCCACTAAGAATACAAAACTGAGCTGGGCATGGTGGCACACACCTGTAACCCCAGTTACTCCGGAGGCTGAGGCATGAGAATCGCTTGAACTCAGAAGGCAGAGGTTGCAGTGAGCTGAGCTCACACCACTGTACTCCAGCCTGGGCGACAGAGTGAGAGTCTGTCTCAAAAAACAAAACACCACCACCACCACCACCACCAAAAAGACCAAGTTAGATTAGCCATGAATGAATATGCCATCCAGTACTCATAATCTGAAAGCAGAGCTAAAGAGATATGGGTGAAGACTGTCAGGAAGAAGATGGGAAACGAAAAACCACTGTCTGGATTCTTGAATATGCACCAAAGACCCTGGCAGAAATAAGGCACCGTGCTGGGCCCCAAAATACTGGTCAGACCCAGGATTACAAATCAAGATTTGGGGTCTATAGGTCTCCCAGTGAGTTGGTCTAAACCAGGAGCAAGGGATTTAAAAAGACAACACAGGCCAATGGGGGAGAAGGAAGGGATGCAGAATCAATGAGAAAGACATTCAAAAGGTCTGAGCTTGTTTCATCAGCAAAGAGAAGGAAACCTGGGAGGAGATGTTAAGGGCGGCTTCACTAAGACTGTGAAAATATAAAGAAAACTAACAACACTGCCACTCACTCAAATGCCTGCCATCTTCCATCCATTTATTCATTCATTAAGTCATCAAGTATTTAGTGAGTACCTACGTAATGCCAGGAACTGTTCTAGACACATGTATCAGTAAACAAAAAAGAAAATGATCCTCTACATTCAGGTGGGGGAAGACAGTAACAAACTGAGTACTTGAGGTCACTGTGTTTTAACAGTGTTATAAATGGAGTCTTTCTGTTTTGAGACTATTGTTCTCTTCAGCCATTAGGCTGTGACAAATATTTTTCTAAATGTTATGGAGTATAATTTTAAAATCCTGTAGGGCTTCAATAGGGGTTCACAAAGTCACTAAAGAACTTGATGTTGCTACATCCAATGATGAATAGAATCAAGTCTCAGTCTTTTTATTACTCAGCTAGTCAGTAACATTGAACACATCTCCCTGACGCTGAACCACCAGAAGGCCCCAGGGTTCAGTTCTTGGCCAGCTTTTTTATCTATATACACCCCTTTGGTGATCTCAACACCTTAGGTCTTTAAGTACACCCACACAACAATGATTCCCACCGTCAGATCTAAAGTCCCTCTCCTCTGAACTTCAGACGTGGACATCCAACCACCATCCACTTGATGACTGACTGGCTCCTGAAACTCACCATATCCCACACTGAGATTCTGAGGTTGTCTTCCAAATCTGCTCTATCTACTGATTCCCCATCGCAGTTTGTGGCAACTCCCTCCTTCCAATTACCCAGGCCTAAAATCTTTTTTTTTTTTTTTTTTTGAGACAGAGTCTTGCTCTGTAGCCCAGGCTGGAGTGCAGTGGCCGATCTCAGCTCACTGCAAGCTCCGCCTCCCGGGTTCACACCATTCTCCTGCCTCAGCCTCCCGAGTAGCTGGGACTACAGGCGCCCGCCACCTCGCCCAGCTAGTTTTTTGTATTTTTTAAGTAGAGACGGGGTTTCACCATGTTAGCCAGGATGGTCTCGATCTCTTGACCTCGTGATCCGCCCGTCTTGGCCTCCCAAAGTGCTGGAATTACAGGCTTGAGCCACCGCGCCCGGCCGGCCTAAAATCTTGAATCATCCTTGACTTCTCTCTCGTCTTCTTACACCCCACATCCAGTCCACAAACACATCTTTCTGACTCCGCCTTCAAAATATTGCCAGCATATGACCACATCTCTTCACCTGCATTGTTTCTGACTTCATCTCCCATCATGCTTCCCCTCACTCAGCCACAATGGCTTCCTTCCTGCTCTTTAAAGAAGCCAAGCTTTAGCAGGGCATGGTGGCTCACGCCTGTAATCCCCGCACTTTGGGAGGCCAAGACGCGTGGATCACCTGAGGTCAGGAGTTTGAGACCAGCCTCGCCAACATGATGAAACCCCATCTCTACTAAAAATACAAAAAATTAGCTGGGCGTGGTGGCGGGCGCCTATAATCCCAGCTACTCTGGAGGCTGAGGCAGGGGAATCGCTTGAACTCGGAAGTCGGAGGTGGCAGTGAGCTGAGATTCCACCACTGCGCTCCAGCCTGGGCAACAGGAGTGAAGCTCCATCTCAAAAAAAAAAAAAAAAGAAAGAAAAAAAAAGAAGCCAAGCCTCAGAACCTTTGCACCTGCCATTCCCTCTGCCTCTCCTGCCCTTTGCTCAGCTATCCACCTGGCGGACTTCTCAAGTCTTGCAGGTCTTTGCTCAAACGCCACTCCCCCAGAGGAGCCTTCCCTGACCACTCTGCCTGGCACCCTATGTTCTGCTTACTCCAGAGCATCTCACCAGTTCACACACTACATATATTCATTTACTCTGTCTCCCATACCAGAATGTAAATCCTTTGAGGGCAGGGATTTTATCTGTCCTGTTCACTATATGACAATGACATAGAGTAAGGATTGAGCTCAATAATTACTGAGTACATGAATATCACAAGCTATACATCATAGGGATTAGACCCCCCTCAACTGATCCAAGACTCAGAAGGGTACATGAATTACCCAAGCTCACACAGCCAGACAGCAACAGAACCAAGACCTAGGGCTGTCCACTCCTGTTACATCACACGATGGCAATGATTTTACATTCTCCAACTGATTCAAATCATGTGGCAGCTAGGGATTTGGGGCTCCATGTTTTATTTCAATTTCAGTTCAAGATTTCTTATCTTTGTCGCTAAGAACCCTACAGCAATTTTGGAAAGCAAAACCCATCTACCTGGAGTAAGTCTTTACACCTGACTACACGGGCCACAACATGGGCCGTTCCTGATTCAGAAAATTCTAGAAGGGTCCTATAGGCCCTTGAAGGTTATAATGTTTTAGGTGATCAAGTTCTATCCTTTGCTGCCTGTGGTCGAATGCTGCAGCAGCTGTCTTTTCTGATAAAGGGCACAGTTAGACTTTGGTTTAAACAGGAAGCCAAATGTTAACTCCTCAGTCTCCAAATTAGCACACTGGGCTACCTATGTGGTTTCCACAATTCTCTCCTTTCTTTCCAAACCTTCAGGAGCTACCCTCCATATTAACGCTGTCTCCTTCCAGGTTAAGCTGATGAAAGGAAGGGGAAAACGATTCACTTTACAAAATCGAATCGGAGAAGTCCAGGGCCTCACAGGAGGAGGCCGCTGTGTGTTCAGATGGCCAAAGGTCCGTGAGAGCCTGGGCCGTGGTTTGCGTCCTCTCGCTAGAGGCCGTGCACCCTCCCGCCTAGCCCCGACGAGGCGCCCGGAAACCGAGCCCAGCGCCGCTCGCTAGGCCTCCACTGCGCGGCCCCGCAGCCGCCTCTTCAGGAGCGGCTTCCTCCCTGAGCATGCGGTCGCTGCAGCCTCCCTGTCTTAGAGCGGGAACCCTGGGCTCGGATGCGGTCCCAGGATGGGCGCTCTGCTAGCAGGCTGGTGGGCGGGGAGAGTGCGCGCAGCCGCGGGCCTCGGTTTCTTCATCTGCAAAGGGAAGGGTGGGGGGTCCCCACGACCCCATTTCACCGGCAGGGACGGCGACACGTCCGGCCTCCGCCGCGCCCGCAACGTCTCTCCCGGGCGCCCCCCGCCCTCTCCCGGACCTACTTCCCCGAGCCGCTCACGCCCATCACCAGCAACGCGCCCGGCGCCGCCATGACCCGAGCCTGGCTCCTTCCAGTCACCTTCCGGGCCCCGCCGTCCCCGGCCTTCCCGGCGCCCGAGGGGCGGAGCCGCTCCCGCCCAGGCAGGGCGATTGAGGGCTGTGCCCCTCTGCGCTCCCCCGGTTTCCCCGCGCCCCTTTTCCATGCTTTCCGCCTCCCTTTCCCAACCTCCCCATCTCTCTCTCCTGCCCCTTCTTTTCCTCTCCCCTCCCCTCCCTCTTTCCTCTTCCCGGAAGTGAAGCGCGCGCCCGGCCTGGCACTGGCGTCTCCCTGGGCTGCCCATAGTCGCCCAAAGCCCCGCCACCTGTCTTCCTACTGTCCTGGCCCCTCTTGGTTCCAGAAGAGCCTCACCCTGGCAGGCCGGATCGTCATCCACCCATGGAAAGCATTCATTCATTCATTTATAAAAATGTTTTATAGAAAGAATAAACGGAAAATAAGACTCATACTTTCCCACACCAGGCAGCATAAGCAGCACTTCCTAAAACGACACCCCTTTCCCCGCGCCCCCGCGTAGGTAGATGGGTATGAATATTTTGTAAAACTGGGATCAGGCCGTACACAGCGTTTTGTAATCTGGCCTTTTGTCACAATAATAAATGGCGGCCATCTTTTGGTGTCAAACTTAAGGTTGAGGGTTGACCATAGCAGCGTATGTCATGGCTGTGTGGCTCTGCTATTAAATCCAGCTCTTGTTGGGACTTTAAGAGGACGGAGCTCCACTTTAAAGTGTCCATTTGCTTTAAAACAATGTGTTAATTATGTGTCGTTTGAACTATTTGATTAAAAGCACTTCTTTTTTTTTTTAACCGCTTTAGCCCCCCCCCCCCCCCCCCCCCCCCCCCCCCCCCCCCCCCCCCCCCCCCCCCCCCCCCCCCCCCCCCCCCCCCCCCCCCCCCCCCCCCATTAGCATCACCTCCTTTGGTCTTTTGCATTTGGCATCACCTCCTTTGGTCTTTTGTTAACCAAGGTCGTAGGTATTACTCTGTGTCCTAGAAAACAATAAAAGTGACATAAAAGCATTTATCTAATGAATAGTTCAATTACTCCTGCACTGCCTTTGTTTTTCATATACTTAGCTTGAGTAGATGAGATTTCAATCTGGATGGGGGCTGTACAGATGAAGAAATTGAGGCTTGGAGAGAAGGTCTTACAACTCAGTTATGGTCAATACTCATTTCTTGAACATCTACAATGTGCTGGTAATATTAATATGCATTTAAAAGATTACACTCTCGGCATTCTCAAGCTTGATAAGAGGAATAGATGTGTATGCAAATACTCTAACTTGTGTCCTGCTTCTCTAGCTCAGTATGAAAAAAAAAATCTCATATTTCTTTCATTGTTCAAATCAGAATTATTAGCAGAAAATCTGGTTCTTCTCCTTGGATTTCTTTCCCAAGACATGTCCAAGGATCTTAAACTTGCTGTGTTGCTCAGGGTGGTGGCAGGAAACAGCATGCTCAAATTGGGGCAGGTGAACAGAATTTAACAAAGGGACTATTTGTAGAGATGTGGGTAGGGTCAGAAAAAGCAACTAGGGGCAGAGTCCGGATCTGAGTAACTGAGAAGTGTTTTCACTCTTAAATAGAAAGGGGCCGATGAGAGGGAGCCTTTATATGAGAAGGGAAGAGAATGGAAAGAAAGAGACAGAGAGAATAGACCATATAGAAAGAAGTATCTGACAGGACTGTAGCCTTAGGAAGAGAGACAGACATTCCTTGTTGACCCAGCAGAAAAATAATCAGGAGAATAAATAGCCTCTCCTCCCCTCCTCTTGCACTGTGATCTGCTAGTGGCCAAACCCCACCCGTCAAACCCAATTGGAAGGTGGAGAGCTAGGGAGTCCATTGGTGCCCATGCATGCCAATTTCCTGGGCTCAGAGCAGGGAGGAGAACGGTGGAGATTGTATCTGGAGGGACCAATGAAAGATACCCAGCACACCAGTGTCAGTGAAACCCTGTGCCTGCTTCCAGGACAGCAGAACTTCAGAGGTGCCCCTAAGAGCTGAATCCCACATTTTTGGCTTTCCAAAGAGTGCCACCTGCTGGTCCTGGTTGTCTTGGTGCTTCCCAGCTATTACTATGGGGCAACCCAGAGGCTGAATATTGGTCTGGTTTTAGGTCCCGTCTACTGCAAAACTGTTGTACTGAGGCACATGGTACTCTGGAAACCCCAAGTCCCTAGTGAGGCACAGCTTCCTGCATGAGTTTCTATAGTCACTCAAGTCCAGATCACCCCCAGATTCTGGACAGCATGTACTGTAAGTCTCAAACAGAAGTGGCAGTGCTCCTGTATGAAGCTGCCCATTTCCACAGGGGTTAAACAGAGCTCAGTGACGAGCACCTTAATGTGCACAGGCACTTCCCTGGGAGGCAAATCATCCACAAAGATGGCTGGGTTGGGGCAGATATTCACATAACAGGAGCCTCACAGTTGTGATATGTCTAATTGAGAAGAGTTTGGATCTTCCCCCTTTCCCTTCCAGGAGAGTCCTTGATCCCAGTTTAATTCTGAGAGTTCAAACAGATGCATGAGAGAGCTTAGAAGTCAAATCTCGGGTCTTAACCAAGCCCTAAAGTAGCTCGTTATACCTTCTTCTGGAAATAATGGCTGTATACTTGCTTCACATCTTCATAATTAAAAGGGGCCACTTGAAAGATCCAGAACAAAGTTTGCACAAAGGCAAAATGGTATCTGTTACCTCAATAGATGTAAAAAAAGCACTTGACAAAATTTAACTTCCCTTTGTGATCAAAATACTCAACAAACCAGCAATACAAAATTCCCAACCTGATAAAGAGTATCTATGAAACCCCCAGGTAACATCATACTTAATGGTGAAAAGACTGAATGTTTCTCCCTATGATCAGGATGAAGGCAAGAATGTCTTCTCTCACCACTTCTATTCTACATTCTGCTAGAGGTTCTAGCCAGGGAAGTTGGATAAGAAAAAGAAATAAAAGGCATCCAGATTGGAAAAGAATATGTAAAACTATCTCTATTTCCAGATGACATGATCTTGTTTATAGAAAACCTAAGGAATCCGCAATAAACCTACTAGGGTTAATAAATGAGATCAGGAAAGCGACAGGTTATAAGATCAGTGTACAAAATCAATCGTAATTCTAAACAATCTGCAAATAAAAAATTTTAAAAAATTATTTACAAGAGCATCAGAGAGAACAAAATAATTAGAAATTTAACAGAAGTATAAAATGGTAGTCTGAAAACGACAAAACATTTTTGGAAGAAATTAAAGGAGGCCTAAATAAATGGAAAGACAGCCTGTTTTCATGATTTGGAAGACACTATTTTTGAGATGGCAACACAGGATTCAACATAATCCTCATGAAAATCCCAGCTGACTCCTTTGCAGAAATTGAGAAGTTGATCCTGAAGTTCATAAGGAAATTTGAAGGAGATAGAAAAATCGTGAAAAAGGGAAAAGTTGGAGTATTCACATCTCCCATTTAACAAACTTATTTCACTTATACACTCATAAAGTCAATTTGGTACTGACATAAGGATAGACACACAGACCAGTGGAATAGAACTGGGAGTCCAGGAATAAATCCATAAGTTTATGGGAAGTTGATTTTCAACAAGGGTGACAAGAGGAAAGAACTGTCTTTTCAACAAATGGTGCTACAACAACTGGATGTACACATGTATAAAAATAAAGTTTATTTATTTATTAAATAATTATCATTATTTTTCTGAGGCAGACAGGGTCTCACTCTGTTGCCCAGGTTGGAGTGTAGTGGCACAATCTCTGTTTGCTGCAACCTCCGCCTCCCAGGTTCAAGCGATCCTGCCACCTCAGCCTTCTGAGTAGCTGGGATTACAGGCATGTGCCACAACACCTGGCTAATTTTTGTATTTTCAGTAGAGATGGGGTTTCACCATGTTGGCCAGGTTGGTGTCAAACTTCTGACCTCAAGTGATTTGCCCGCTTCGGCCTCCCAAAGTGCTGGGATTACAGGCATGAGCTACCGTGCCTGGACTTGATTCACTTCTTGTCAATCATTTGTTTAATGGGTTATCAGGGCCTTTAACAGAGTAGGAAAAGTATGATCTTTGAAGTTAGATTAATTTATGAATTAATTGATGGAGAAAAGCTGCAGAGATAGAAGGAGGGTGTGGTAATGAGACTAGAAATGAAGGGATATGGGTGTTGCGTAGCCTCTGACAAAATAACTAAAAGCCTCTTTCTGATTCAAGATCTCTGCCTGTAACATGAAGGAAGACAAGAGAGAATTACCTCAACAATACCTTTCATAGGTCTGAACACTAAATAATTTCATCCTAATCTCTCTAGATTGTTCATATGAATAATTTTGGACAACTAAAACACACCTTCCTCAATTAAAAGACTTAACACAAGATTTTTTTGGAAAATAAAGGCAGGAAACATGTAAAACAAAACCGACAGTGAATGTGAACCTATGTCAAGCCATGCCATGCCCCAAATGCCTCTAACATATATTTGGTGTGGCACAACTGAATTAATCTTATGGAAGAGATAAAAGGCATGATCACTGATATGTAAAAACTGTGCGCATAAAATACACCATTTCAAGGTGTTATATTAGTTATACAAGAATCAAAAGAAACATTAAGCTATTTATCTATCTACTTCAACTTCTGTTAAGCTTCAGAATACTTTCATCCTCAACAAAATCTTCCATAGAACCTCAATATATAAATCTAATATAGGCTAAGCACAGTGGCTCACATCGGTAACCTCAGCAATGTGGGACGCCAAGGCAACAGGATGCCATAAGCCAGGAGTTTGAGGTTGCAGTGAGCTATGATGGCACCACTGCACTCCGGCCTCAGTGACTGAGCAAGATCCTGCCTCTCTTAAAGCAAACCAAAACACTGAAAAACCAAAACCAAACCAAACCAAAACAAAAAACTAATATGAGAAAAGTAAAAGCAGTTTTAGGCCTGGCTGGCTTCCCAGACTCCAGCCCTTCCACGTATTGAGGACAGTTACAAAAATAACTAATGCAGTCCCATCCCTTCATTTTACAAATGAGAAAATTATTACTCAGGGGCGCTGGCTTATAAGGAACAATTAGCTAATCTTACTCATGCTAAATTATGTGGTAGTCAGATCAGGTATATACACACTGCATCTTTTTCATTATTAAAAAGAAATATGCCAATTATTGACCACTTATTAAATGTAAGCTAACCCAGGACATCCATATCCCC